TATCATCTAGATAATTCAGAAATAAAAGAGCATATGAAATACGTAATCAACACAGCCCTGTGGATTTACACTCCACATCCATATCTGTTTAGTGAGATAAATCATATTTACAGAAGGTGCCCTCTGAGATGCAAAGTCACCATGGCCAAAGTAGGCCGTACCACTTCCCAAATCGATTGTGTCTTGGGAAACAAAAAGTGAAAATAGAGCCTGAGTCAGGGAGAAGACAACTACAGTGCAAAACTCTCAGCTTAGAAGCCTTAGGTAACAGATTGACCTACCCTGAAAGGTTGGTGTGTGACTTTTATCTCAGTCTTATTGTTTTATGATGATGTTTTGTGATTGTGTTATGTTTTTATTTGATTGATTTTAATGTTGTTTTTATTTGCAACATGGGCTTGTCCCTTTGTAAGCCACCCCAAGTCACCTCGGGGAGGTGGTGGCAAGATATAAATAATAATAATAATAATAATAATAATAATAATAATAATAATTATTATTATTATTATTATTATTATTTTACTGATACAAAAACACAGTGTTGTTGTTCATTCGTTCAGTCGTCTCCGACTCTTCGTGACCTCATGGACCAGCCCACGCCAGAGCTCCCTGTCGGCCGTCACCACCCCCAGCTCCTTCAAGGTCTAGCCAGTCAATTCAAGGATGCCATCCATCCATCTTGCCCTTGGTCGGCCCCTCTTCCTTTTACCTTCCACCTTCCACAGCATAATTGTCTTCTCCAGGCTTTGCTGTCTCCTCATGATGTGGCCAAAGTACTTCAACTTTGTCTCTAGTATCCTTCCCTCCAGTGAGCAGTCGGGCTTTATTTCCTGGAGGATGGACTGGTTGGATCTTCTCGCAGTCCAAGGCACTCTCAGAACTTTCCTCCAACACCACAGCTCAAAAGCATCGATCTTCCTTCGCTCAGACTTCCCTAAGGTCCAGCTCTCACATCCGTAGGTTACTACAGGGAATACCATGGCTTTGACTAGGCGGATCTTTGTTGCCAGTCTGATGTCTCTACTCTTTACTATTTTATCGAGACTGGACATTGCTCTCCTCCCAAGAAGGAAGCGTCTTCTGATTTCCTGGCCACAGTCTCCATCTGCAGTAATCTTTGTGCCTAGAAATACAAAGTCTGTCACGGCCTCCACATTTTCTCCCTCTATTTCCCAGTTGTCAATCATTCTTGTTGCCATAATCTTGGTTTTTTTGATGTTTAGCTGCAACCCGGCTTTTGCGCTTTCTTCTTTCACCTTGATTAGAAGGCTCCTCAGCTCCTCCTCACTTTCGGCCATCAGAGTGGTGTCATCTGTATATCTGAGGTTGTTAATGTTAATGTTAATGTTAATGTTGTTAATAAGGTTGTTAATGTATGTCACAGCAAATGAGATCTGTATGCTGGATTTCGTATCACAAAATCACAAGTCCTAGACACTTCCCAAGTGTCTAGGACAGGGGTCCTCAAACTTTTTAAACAGAGGGCCAGGTCACGGTCCCCCAAACTGTTCGAGGGCCGGATTATAATTTGAAAAAACATGAATTCCTATCGACACTGCACATATCTTATTTGTTGTGCTAAAAACAATACAATAATTAAAATGAACAATTTTAACAAATATAAACTTATTAGTATTTCAATGGGAAGTGTGGGCCTGCTTTTGGCTGATGAGATAGGGTTGTTGTTGTTGTTGTTGTTGTTGTGTGCTTTCAAGTCATTTCAGACTTAGGTTGACCCTGAGCGAGGGCAGGGTAAATGACCTTGGAGGGCCGCATCCGGCCCCCGGGCCTTAGTTTGAGGACCCCTGCCCTACAGTGTAGTGATTTGAGCATTGGAGTGGGATACCAGGAAACAAAGGTCTTACTGCAGGCATGTCAGTTCTACACTCCAGGCTGGAATACAGTTTAGCAGCCCCGCATTTTGGGGCCTGTCTGGAAAGGCCCTCAGTTATCATCAGTGAAAAGTTGGAGGGATAACTTCATATATTTTTAAAAGGCAGTTCCTTGGCTCAAATCTTCCTAGAAACCCACTGAAATGTGGCAGAATTTCCATCCTGTGAATATTAGGGGGTATTGGGAGACATTTTGGGAGAATTTTGTTCTGATGGTATTTAAATAAACAGTTTTGGTGGTGTTACTCTCCTTTGGATTCGAAAACGTCATTGGTCTCTTCTAATCATGTCAGAAGCAACTTGAGAAACTCCAAATTGCTTCTGGTGTGAGAAATTGAGAAGCTGGAGCTGACCGATGAGAGCTCACCCCAACTTGCTAATCTGAACCACCGACCTTCAGGTCAGCAGTTCAACCGGCACAAAGGTTTAACCCACTGCACCACCAGGGCTCCTAATGGCATTGGTAGAAAGCTTAACCACAGTTCATTTTCTCAGAGACATATTTCTTTTCCAAATAATTCGAGACAGGAACTCATGTTAACCACATTTCAGTTTCTCAGAGGCCCTGTGTACATATTTCTTTTCCAAATAATTCAAGATAGGCCATGTGGTTCTCTGCTTTTTATGTAGTTTAGCACATATAAATAATGTGTAGTAAGGTAAGCAGAGCAGCTCACACACTGTCCCATTTATCATATTGTCAGTGTTTCTACGAAATGTCGTTCTGTACACAAGCCCACTTGTTCTCTGTGCCAATATTTGATTTCTGTATTGGCATTTAAATAAACAGTTTTTGGGGTGTTACTCTCCTTTGGATTCAAAAACATCATTGGTCTCTTCTAATCATGTCAGAAGCAACTTGAGAAACTACAAATTGCATCTGGTGTGAGAAAATTGGCCGTCTGCAGAGACGTTGTCCATGAGATGCCAGGATGTGTTGCCATCTTGTGAGAGGCTTCTCTCATGTCCCTTATGAGAAGCTGGAGCTGACAGATGAGAGCTCACCCCATCTTGCGGATTTGAACCACTGACCTTCAGGTCAGCAGTTCAGCCGGCACAAAGGTTTAACCCACTGCACCACCAGGGCTCCTAATGGCATTGGTTCAAAGCATCATTTTCCCCACCTCTGATATATATAGAGACAGGAACTCATGTTAACCACATTTCAATTTCTCAGAGGGCCTGTGTACATATTTCTTTTCCAAAGAATTCAAGATAGACCATGTGGTTCTCTGCTTTTTGTGTAGTTTAGCACATATAAATAATATGCAGTAAGGTATGCAGAGCAGCTCACACACTTTCCCATTTATCATATTGTCAGCGTTTCTACGAAATGTCGAAATGTACACAAGCCCATTTGTTCTCTGGGCCAATATTTGATTTCTGTATTGTCAGACTCTGCTTTGCCAGGAAGGGGACTCAGAGGCCAAAGTGTGGGAATGATTTTAATCATGCAAATCAACAAAAATCTCTAAGGCTACTTTCAGGTATATGCTAACAAGAAGCCAAGATCTCATATATTTATTTATTGGGGTTTTTTTTTTGAAAAGTTGAAATAATGACTGATTAATCAATCAATCAATCTGTTATCAAGAATTTTGATTATTTTAAACCTAGGAAATCAATTATCACCTTTAATTTTCATCAGAACTATTTCCAGAAAGCAAGACATTAACATAAAATTACATGTCGCTATTTCTCCATAAAATAAGCCTTTTCACCTGGATACTGTATTTTTCTAACCTTCTGACAGTGTGTTTTAAAGTTGGTTTTTACGAGTCTTCAAGACAAAAATTCCAATTCTATCTAAAATGTATATTTTTCTCTTCATTTTTTATTCTAAGCAGCTGCTCCTCCTCTGTTTTGCTTTTGAGTGTCTCAAAGAATGTAATGCATAATATGCCTCTCTCTGTGTATGTTATGTTTTCTAATCTCTAAAGTGTTTTCCAGAAGCAGCACAAAGGATCATCTTGCCCAGCTTCCATTTCTACCAAGCACAGCGCTATCAAATCTGTTAATTGCTACCAGTGGCACGACATATTTCTCTGTTCCAAAACAACACTGTTGTGAGTGCTGTATAAGCCAATTTGTATATTTCCCACAGGGCAGGAATCCTTGTGATTGAATACTGGACCTATTTTGAGAAATGAACCAAAGTTTCTTACAAGGCTGTGGGGAAAATGAGCTCTTTCTTGTTTTTATTGTATTTTCAGGGTGGATGAGAACCTCTTTGCAGGTTGATCCTTAACTACTATGCATTATTTGGTGTGGTTTTGGTAGCGGCCACCTTGTCTTGTATAAGAAAGTTTGGGGTTTTGTATTGTGTGCAAAATGGCCTTTTAAGACTAGATTTCCTTCTAGAACAGCGTTTCTCAATCTAGGAGTCAGGACCACTGCGGGGGGATTGCGAGGGGATGTCAGAGAAGTCGGCAAAGACCATCAGAAAATACAGTATTTTCTGTTGGTCATAGGGGTTCTGTGTGGGAAGTTTGGGCCAATTCTATTGTTGGTGGGGTTCAGAATGCTCTTTGATTGTAGGTGAACTATAAATCTCAGCAGCTACAACCCCCAAATGTCAATGTCTATTTTCCCCAAACTCCACCAGTGTTCACATTTGGGCATATTGAGTATCCAGTCTAAGTTTGGTTTAAATCCATCATTGTTTGATTCCACAGTACTCTCTGGGTGTAGGTGAACTACAACTTCAGAACTCAAGGTCAATGCCCACCAAACCCTTCCAGTATTTTCTGTTGGTCATGGAAGTTCTGTGTGCCAAATTTGGTTCAATTCCATCATTGGTAGAGTTCAGAATGTTCTTTGATTTTAGGTGAACTATAAATCCCAGCAACTGCAACTCCCAGATGACAAAATCGATCTCCCCCTCCAATCCCACCCATACGCAGATTTGAACATATTGTGTATTTGTGTCAAATTTGGCCCAGTGAATGAAAATACATCCTGCATATCAGATATTTACATTACGATTCCTAACAGTAGCAAAAATCCAGTTATGAAGTAGCAATGAAAATAATTTTATGGTTGAGGGTCAATACAACATGAGTAAGTGTATTAAGGGATCGCGGCATTATGAAGATTGAGAAACACTGCTCTAGATTTCATGTTTGCAGAGGTATGCTTTCGGTTTCTTGCAAACAGCATCAATCCATCCTTTATGTTCTGCGATGGGAAAGAAAACACAGGTTCCAATCAAACATCTCAAAATACCTCAATATTCAAATTGATTTTAAACAGATGTGTCTTCACTTCTCAATTTGTTTAATATGCTTTTAATCTACCATATTTCTTTGATTCTAAGATGCCATGAATTGTAAAATACACTTATTTCAGTACCATAAGCAGAAAAAAGCTTTGTTTGTATATATATTTAAAAGAGCACACATGATTCTAAGAAGCATCCTGGTTTTACAGGTGTTTATGGGGGAAGTGCATCTTAAAACTGAAGAGATGAAGCATTTGCATTATATTTTTGAATGGTTTTTAACTTCTGCAGATAAATAGAGATAGATAGATAGATAGATAGATAGATAGATAGATAGATAGATAGATAGATAGGATGCCCAACCGCTCGGTTTGGACGCCATAATAAGCCAAATAAGAACAGGGTTGTTGTAGGTTTTTCCGGGCTATATGGCCATGTTCTGGAGGCAATTTTTCTCCTGACGTTTCGCCTGCATCTATGGCAAGCATCACTACCTCTGAGGATGCTTGCCATAGATGCAGGCGAAACGTCAGGAGAAAAATTGCCTCCAGAACATGGCCATATAGCCCGGAAAAACCTACAACAACCCAGTGATTCCGGCCATGAAAGCCTTCAACAATACAAATAAGAACAGTAATAAAATTCAATCATGGGAAAGCACATGTGAGTGCATACTGAGTAAATGTTTACAACAGATTTTTGCAGCTAGGCAAATAGACATGGCAAATGCCATGATAAGCTAAGTAACACCTAAACAAGCAGCACCCTGATGCATGTTGGCTGAACGGTTAATTCCTCCTGCTTGCATTGAAAGTGACTGAAAAAACTGCAGAGCCTTAGGTCCCTTCCACACAGCCATATAACCCAGACTATCAAGGCAGAAAATCCCATAATATCTGCTTTGGACTGGGATACCTGAGTCCATACTGCCATATATGAGATCTATCTACCTTCGTGACTGCATTTCTGTCTATGCATCTGCACGACCACTTCGATCATCGGGGGAGGCCCTCCTTTTGCTCCCACCTTCGTTGCAAGCGCAACTTGTGGGGATGAGGGAGAGGGCCTTCTCTGTGGTGGCCCCTAGACTTTGGAACTCGCTACCTGGTGAGATTAGGCAAGTGCTCACTTTGGCAGCATTCAGGAAGAACCTAAAACTTGGCTGTTCCGGTGTGCCTTCGAGGATTGAACAACAAGTCTCCTACCTTGACCAACTCAGTACATAATGTCTCTCACCCTTCAGTGAATTAAATCCCATTGTTTGTCCCATCCGAACTTCCCACCAGATACATTACCCTACTCATCCATCTCACCGAGGATTTTACAATTCTATTTGTTGTATTTGGCCCTGCCCACTTGGTTCAATGTTTTGTTATTTATGTTATACTCTCTGTCAAATTGTGTTATCTTCTTTTATTTATTTTATTGTACTTTATTTGATGTATTATCTTATGCTTTTTTGTTGTATTCTTTTGCTCTGTTGTATTCTTTTGCTCTGTTATAATTTGTTGGGCTTGGCCACACCGAGTCCCCTTGGGGAGATGGAGGAGGGGTAGAAATAAAGTTATTATTATTATTATTATTATTATTATTATTATTATTATTATTATATATTCCAGCTCAAAGCAGGAAATGTGAGGTTTTATTCAGCTGTATGGAAGGGCCTCAGTCCATGATTTATTGTGACACAGTAGTCACCATGAAGGCTGTCACATACATAATACTATGTATGTGACAGCCTACATGGTCCTGGGTTATGAATGTTATGTCCTAATTGGTTCTATCATAAAAACACTGAAAAGGTTTATTACACCACAAAAACTTTGTTTTTGCAGAACATCCTGCAGCACATCTTGCTATAGTTTTTCAATGAATATCTTATCAAGTCTCAACCAATTCAACATAGTTTGTGGCAGCCACAAAAACAAAGTTTCTGGAGTAGAAAAACTACTTTCAAAGTAAATGCTGCACCATTAAAGAGGAAATAATATTTTCAAACCAGGAACAGATTTTTTAAAAAAAATTGTTACATAGTATAATCCAGAGAATTGACCATAAAGCAAACCCCGGATTAGCTTCTCAGGAGACACACAAGACAGGAATCTCATACCAGGGTGACAAATCAGAGCAAGCAGACTCTCTCTTTACTTCCTCAGTTGTTCCAATAGAAATGGGAGCATTGCCTGCTTTCCACCAGCATTTTGCTCTATCCTTGACAAGAGAGAATCCTCTTGAATTCTGGCTTGTTGTGATGTTGGATGTGGCTATAGTAGGCATTTGTACACATCCAAATAATTGTTTACTTCCTTAAAAGATTGGTGCCTTTTGCAAGAGGAAGCCCTGGCAGAAACTGACCCTAATATCAAATGGATGCGGGATTTTTCTCCTGTTTTTAGTTTGGAGTTATCCAGAGTATTGGACCCTGCCAACAGACTATGTTCAGCACCTTGGACAGATGCTTCAAAATTCAGATTAAGTTCCTCTAACAATTTCACCACCAATTTTGTCTGGCAGAGCTGGGGAGACAATAATAAATCACTCCCCATTGGGTCTCAACTCAACTCCTTCTCTTACATCTGTTCTCTTTGCAGAGAATGCCATTACTATTACTGTATTCCTTAAGACTGTGCAGTTTCCTATCAGTGGCTCACCTGTTGAGGCTCTTAGAGCTACGCAGTATTCAGAATTCCACAGATTGTTGGGTTCCCCTCCCATCCAGTTGCTGTAGTTATATGTTGATTCATCAGACCATCTCCACATCCCAGTCTATAATAACAGGGGAAATAGATTAGAACACAAGATCCATTGAGTGAAGTGTTTTGTTACCAAAGCCACGTGTTTTTGATCTTCACACACAAGTCATGAAGGCAGCACAATTTCCCTCATTTGTCTCCAAAGTTATTAAGCTATATAGGGCCCTTCCACACAGCCATATAACCCAGAATATCGAGACAGAAAATCCCACAATATCTGAACTGGATTATCTGAGTCCACACTGCTATATATTCCAGTTCAAAGCAGTTAATGTGGGATTTTATTCAGTTGTGTTTGAAGGGGCCATAGAGGGAAACTTCCTTGGAAAATGTGTACAGTGGACCCCCACATTATTATTATTATTATTATTATTATTATTATTATTATTAATAATCAACTTTATTTGTACCCCGCTAACATCTCCTGAAGGACTTGGTGCGGCTTACAAAGGCCAAGGCCCTCAATAAAACAACAGCATAACAAATACAACAATAAAACTTATAAAGCAAACCAATAAACATTAAAGCAATAACAGTAAAACAATAAAACAATACATCATGACACATTTAAAACTAGGGCCAGGCCAAATGTAATGACTAAAATTAAAAGTGCTGGACATGACAGGTGAAATGTAAGGATTGTAGGGTAGGTGCGATGTGCAGGCAATCTTAAGTCTCTAGTAAAGTGTGTTTGGGACATGATGCTGGGAGTTTCCTATTCTGGAAAGGCACACTGGAACAGCCAGGTCTTCAAGCTCTTCCTAAAGACTGCCAACGTTGGGGCTTGTCTAATGTCCTTGGGGAGAGAGTTCCAGAGTCGGGGAGCTACCACAGAGAAGGCCCTGTCCCTCGTCCCCACCAAACACGCTTGCGACGCAGGTGGGATCGTGAGCAGGGCCTCTCCAGATGAACGGAGGGATCATGTGGGTTTATATACAGAGATGCAGTCATGCAGGTAGGCGGGTCCCAAACCGTTTAGGGCTTTGTAGGTGAGCACCTGCACCTTGAATTGGGACCAGAAAATAAACGGCAGCCAATGGAGCTCCTTAAACAGGTCTCCCTCCGCCTGTCCTTCTATATCCTGGGAATAAGGGAATTCCACATTGGGGTTTGATTTCAATAGCCAGGGAGGCCAAGACTTACATGGCGAGTGTCATGGAGTCCAATCCAGACATCCACTTGTTTTTCTTTCTTGTAAGCAGAGATGTGCTTGGACACAATGAGGGTTTCTGTCCAAGTGAGTATAGATGCAAGGTGGGTCCCACGGCCATAGCTTTGACAGTCAATCTGGGGAAAAACACACAAAGTATAATATTGCCCTTGACCATTCCATCACACACAAGCTATCACTTCTGGAAAAAAGAAAGCCCAGTCTTACCTCAGCTTCATGCCAACTCAGCAACTTGTGGAAAAACCCATAGCAGTTGCCTTGGTATTGCAGCCATCCCCTTGCACAAGTATCAGCTTCTGTGGCTGTTACATAGGAAGAAAAGATAGAAAGAAAGGGGGATTCAGGGAGGGTGATATATTTTGAGCAAAGGTAGGCAAAAGGCATTGTTTCTGGAGCCTCCAATTATCCAATAGCTCACAAAGCCAGGGTAGATGTCCTGGCTTGCTATATGTAAGTCATGGTGTTATGACAAGAGAAATGTTATTGTATTCTCTTTTCTCCTCTACTTATCTTCTTTGTTTATTTCTGCATTTTGCCTTTCTATCTCTTGTAGAGAGAAATAAGGAGACTCAATTTAGGGGGTAAGGGATTACATAGGGGGTTTCCCACTCTTTACTCTAACCTGGTCTCTTTTAAATCCTTACCTTTACATCCCTATAAAGGCAAGTTTTCTTCTGGCATAGAGGTGCAAGAACAAAACACAGTACAGCTATTGGTTTCTAATTGTTTAGTACAGGAAACCTCTGCTTATCTGAGGGTTAGGGACTGGACTGGGGACATGACTGCTGTCAGAAAAAAAGAATGGGTTGAAAAGTGAAACCTAAAGTGTTTGTTAGCTTGCAAGTGCAAGTGTAACACTGGATGGCACCAAGTTGACAAGCACCATGATAAAAAGCAACTGGAATGCTTCATAGGGGAGTAAAGGGTAGAACATGGCTATAATACAGATCTGTCAAAATAATAACAACAACAACAACAACTTGGGAAGTGTCCGACGTGTCATCCAATACAACAGCCAGCAGAGTGATCTTGTCTGCTGTGGACTCATCTACTGTGTTTCTAATAATAATAATAATAATAATAATAATAATAATAATAATAATCAGACAGACAGACTACAAGCAGACAGACTACAAGCAGAGGCATAACACCATTGCTCAGATGATTCATTGGAACTTGTGCCACAAATACCATCTGCCTGCAACAAAGAACTGGTGGGATCACAAACCTGAAAAAATTACAGAAAATGAACACATCAAACTCCCCTGGGACTTTCGAATTCAGACGAACAGAGTTTTGGAGCACAATACTCCTGACCTCATGATCGTGTTAAAACACCAAGTATGGATCGCTGATGTTGCAATCCCAGGTGACAGCAGGATTGAAGAGAAACAACTGGAAAAGCTGACACAATATGAGGATCAAATAACAATAATAATAATAATAATTATTATTTAAAATTATTTGTAATCTGCCCTATCTCCTCGAGGGGACTCAGGGTGGATTCCAACATAACAATGGCAAACATTCAATGCCTACATAAAACACATGATAATAACATAAAATCCCAGAAAAACCCCACATATAAAGTAATATTAAAATCTAACATCAAATTAACACCAAAAAAGTGGAACATCCAAAAATAAATGATGAAATAAAGGGGGATACCTGTAGTTTAGTAGGAATTGCATTGCACACAGTTCCTGTGTAATCTTTCAAGCAAGAAATAAATATTCCAATATTTTATTCTTCTTCTTCAATATCATCACCATTTATGAATGTGAGATCAGTGCAAAGTCACTGAGCTCAGAACCCAGAAATCTGAATGAGATCACTGGACATTTATATTGTGTAGTTCACATAGGGCCCTTCCACACAGTCATAAAACCCAGAATATCAAGGCAGATAATCCTCAATATCTGCTTTGAAAGGGATGATCTGAGTCCACACTGCCATATAATCCAGTACAATTTATTTATTTATTTATCTATTTATTTTATTATTTAGAAATTTTGTATACTGGTCTTCTCACCTCCATCGAGGGACTCAGGCCGGTTTCCAACAACAATATCACAAACAATCATTAAAACATCATATTCCATATTACACTAAAACATTAAAAGAGCAAAATACAATCATATAATTACAATGTGGATATTATAGAGCTGTGTGGAAGGGGCCTAAGGTTTTAGAAGGGGTACTTTCCCTTTGGGTAATGGAGATGATGGATGAGGAAACTGGACCCTTCTGCAGTCAGAACATGTGTAGTGCTACTGAACGCTGGTCCTTGACAACCTATCCTTTTCATGAGGTGTATTGCATTCAGTAATCACGAATTACTTAGCAGGCTATTTTTATGTTCTCTTCTTGCTGATGTGTGCCTTCAAGTCATGTCTGAGTTTTGCAACCTCTAGGTAATTCTACCATGGGGTATTTTTGGAAAGATTTGTTTTAAGAGCAAGTTTGTCATAGCTTTCCCCTGAGACTGAGAAAATGGGATTTCACCATGACATGACCGCCCATTGAGTTATAATGGTTGAGCAGGGGTTCAAACCTTGGTCTAAGAGAGTCTAAGCCAGGCATGGGCCAACTTGGGCCCTCCAGGTGTTTTGGACTTCAACTCCCACAATTCTTAACAGCTGGTAGGCTGTTAGGAATTGTGGGAGTTGAAGTTCAAAACACCTGGAGGGCCAAAGTTTGCCCATGCATGGTCTAAGCCCAACACTTATACTGTTGCACTGCACTGACACTCTTTCATCTGCTTGGCATTTCTGTTTCATGTCTTCCTATATACCAAGGTATTAAACCATCAGATGAATAGGAGCCCCCGCTGGCACAATGGGTTAAACCCTTGTGCCACCAGGACTGAAGACTGACAGGTCACAGGTTCGAATCTAGGAGAGCATGTATGAGCTCCCTCTGTCAGCTCCGGATCCCCATGCAGGACATGAGAGAAGCCTCCCACAAGGATGATAAAGCATCAAAACATCTGGGCGTCCCCTGGGCAATGTCCTTGCAGACGGCCAATTCTCTCACACCAGAAGCGACTTGTAGTTTTTCAAGTCGCTCCTAACACGAGAAAAAAAAATCAGATGAACGCCTTTCCAAAAATCCCAGTGAGAACTCACCTCTCATGAAGATGCCAAGCAGGCAAAGACTGACACAAACCAAAGGTCCCATTTCCTTTCTTCACCTAAAAAGGAAGAAAAGGAAGAAAAGAAATCAAGTGACATGATGAAAAAATAGGGAAGTTAGCAAGAAGTGTTAGAAGCCAAGACAAACATCTTAGATCCTAGAAAGTGAATTAGACATTCAAAAAATGACATTCTTATTTCTGTTGTTCAGGAACAAGTACCTACCCAAATACAACAAAAATAGTGTCATTTGTGCACAAGATGGAGATAATGGCACGTAACCCGGCTCTTTGAACAAGACTTTGGAAATGCAGTGAAATAAACAAACATGGAATTATGTAAGTTGAAACATGGAACGGCTTAGACAATGCTAATGGAAAATGCGATTAACAGGAAGACATTGATTATTATATGGTTTAAATAGTTTTTGTATTGATTTTATAATGTTGTTTGTAAATGTTTTAATTTTACGTTGTGGATTGTTATGGCATCAAATGGCTGCCAATTTGTAAGCCGCCTTGAGTTGCCTTCGGGCTTGAGAAAGACAGGATAGAAATATCATAAATAATAAATAATAATAATATTGCATACTTTTGTTATATAAAGCCTTTGTGTGGGGGAAGGAGATATAAAATAGCCTAGTGAGGACTTAATATGTTCCTAAGATACTATTCTGACTGTGACAGGGTTGCAGAGAATATGTAAGCACCATCATCACCACCATGGAGTCCCTGGTGGTGCAATGGGTTAAACACTTGGGCCAGCCGGACTGATGACCAATAGGTCAGCGGTTCAGATCTGGGCAGAGCAGGTTGAGCTCCCTCTGTCAGTTCCAGCTCCCCATGCGGGGACATGGAGAAACCTCCCACAAGAATGGTAAAACATCAAAAAATCCAGACATCCCCTGGGCAATGTCCTTGCAAATGGCCAATTCTCTCACACCAGGAGCAACTTGCAGTTTCTCAAGTTGCCCCTGACATGAAAAAAAATCACCATCATTATCGTAATCTTTAATATATTCCGTCATAAAAGATGACTGGGCATATAAGACAACTCCCAACTTTTCCAGTTAAAATATAGAGTTTGGGATATATTCACCATATAAGACTACCCCTCTTCCAATGCACACCAAATAAAAATTTAAAAAGCATCAGATTTGATTTCAATATGGTAATTTTATATTACTATACCTCCTTCTCTGCTTCTCAGATCTCGCACATGCGCACCTGCACCGCTTCACTGCAGTCTTCAGGAGCGAGATCTGAGTGGTAGAGTAGGCGTTACGGCAATAGGATACAAGGGCGGGCCAGACAGGTAAAAGAGGTGCATTTGTCTGGGTCCAGAGCCACTCGATCTCTTTTTTCCATACCCTGGGCACCCCAGACGCCTGCAGCTTGCTCCACCCTTCACTTTGAGCCGCCGCAAACTAGCGTCTTGGGAGAGCAAACTGTGCCAGCACGACCGATGACGTCGAATTCTTCGCCTCTTTCTCCGCCTATTTCTCTGCGGCCGCGTGGTTTTCCCTTTGCTAGGGCAGCGATGCGAGCGTACGCTTGCTGTTGACAGAATTCAATAGGCAGAACAGTCACGCTAGCAAGAGAGAGAGGATAAAAAATGGATGACTGCGTTAATGACGAAAAAGTTGAAAAAGAAATTATAGAATTTTATCGATGTAAGTAAATTACACGATTTATAGATTCCATATTAAAAATAAAATAGTATAAACGTTGTATATAAATAGTTTTCGGCTGGTAACCCCTCCAAGCCGAAAACTATGTGTTTTGGCACGTTCTTCCCATGCTGTTTTGGAACGAAAACAGACCGATTAATATTATAGGTTATTCATATCTAGCAAATAAAAATGATTAAAAATCATACTTATAAAAAGCAATAGATCGAAAGACTATCATTGTGCAGAGGTAACAATGTGGGAACAAAGTGTTTTGTGAAGTTGTTCTATCCAGAGATAAATCATTTAAAAATATTAGATTTTCACAAAATTAGATGGAAATAGGTTTTCTATTAATAATATATTCAGTGAGAGATAATAAAATCTTTGTTCTACAGCCAATCCACATCTGTGGAATCCAAGTCATGTGGACTATTACAAAAAGAACAGAAGGGATTCCACATTGACAGTGTTAAGAGACCTTTTAGCTTCTGAACATGGTATCAACATCACTTGTAAGTAGACTATGGATATCTATGATGTAGTAGGCTATAATCTGTTCCATCATATCCCAATTATCAAAGTGAAAATAACAACTTGAACATTTCCATTATAATTTACAGCAAACAAGATTCTTAGTAAAAAAATTAAAAATATGAAGGGTGCATACAAGAGGGAACTGTCAAAGCTGCAAAAATCAAAGTTGTCTGGAGTGGGCACCAATAATGTGCACAAAATCAGATTTCCGTACTTCAAGGAGATGGATTTCCTTAGGGACTCCATGCAGGCAGATGAAAGTAAGGATACCATCAACCTCAGCATCTCCCTTGAAAATGTAAGTGCGAACATATAGGCTACATAACTGTATGGTGTGATGGTGGTAACACTATAGTTGCTTATCTAGAACACTGATTGTCTCTTTGGACCAGTTATGGATGATTTGATGTACAAATATCACATTCTAACATGTGCATTAGCCATGTACACCACAACATGTCTAATGCAGTGCTGGTATTGATTTCAGGACAAGTGTAGTCAACCCATAGTTACAGAAGAAAGAGAGGACTTGATGTGCACTGAAGCAAGTAAGTTCCAAGAGTTATCTTTTACCATAATTCAAAGCACAGAGCCAAATACCCCGTCATGTAGCCATGACACAATGAACTCAGTAAGTAATTCAGTAATGCCAACAAACAGTCAGTGGTCAAGTCCTCATCCGAGGGACGATGGAGTTACAGTCGACAGACAGGAGAATAAAAGAAAGCGACAGAAGACATCGCTTGTGTCATCTCCCTCTCTTCAGTCCGAGCTATATAAGAAGGCTGTGGACTACCTGGCAAACAAGCAAAGCAACACCCCAACATGTGTAGAACAAAATTTCGGTAACCACGTCACTCTCAGCTTAATGAATATTAGTGAAGACTTGTGGGAAGAAGCAAAATATGAAATACAGGGTATCTTGTTGACATATTACAAACAGTCAAGGACCAATAAGCAATAAATTAGCATTTTGTTGGCAATAAAGTAGACTACTGTAACATGTTGTGTTTAATAAAGGTTTGTTTTATTATCGATATATACAATTACATTAAAAATATATATAAAATAACTGCTATACAAAACGATGTTGCCAGTACACCGCGCCAACATCAGATGTAAAAAATGCTTTAAAATTCTCCCTCACAGCTTTGGCCTCTGTGCTGTAATAATTGGAGTGGGTGGTAGCCACTTGTGGAAGATGCAGATCTGTTCCGGGCTGTATAGGAATCTCAATCCTCCAGGCACCAGGCACAGTGGTACCAGTTTCCACATCTTCTCTGTCCACATAATTGACTGGCCATGATTCTGTGCTTTCATGGCGCCTTAAAAAGTTGTGAAGTGCACAACCAGCAAGTACTAATGTGCGCACCTTGTCTGGCTGTAGCAGGATGGGATTTAGAAATACTCTTAATCTATTAGCAAAAATGCCAAAAGCTGTCTCCACAACTTGGCAGCCACGTGAAATTCTTTAGAAGAAAATAATCAAAAGATACGTTAAATACAACTATTGCTATATCAATTTTCCAAGGTCAAAGGTTTCCTTATTAAACTATTTCACTGGTATAATGCTGCAAGATACAACTACATTACCCACTGAATGTTTATCTGTAATTGCATATCCGTTCTTCCAGAGTCAAATCATTTCCCCCATACGGCTTGAGGATATATGGTTTTAATCCAAAAGCGTCATCTGCTAAGAAGACGTATGGAGTGGGTATGTCTTGACCTGGAAGTGGATGGGCTGGGGGCATGTCAAGAGCGTTAACATCTATAAGCTCTTTTAAATTACATTTGTTCCACACACCTCCATCTCTGATCCTTCCTTATGTGCCAACATCAATATATCTAGAAAATCAAAATGAAGAACATGCTTTAAGCCCTTGGTATAATTAAATTAATTCTTACCTACTGCACTTCAATGTACTGAAATTTATAATTAGCATCCACAACTGCTAAAAGGACAATAGATTCTGTTCCTTTATAATTGTGGTAATGGGAACCACTGTTGATCAGCTTCCTTATCACAATATATTTTCCATCAATGGCCCCCAAACAATGTGGCACATTCCACCGATCTAGAAATTGCTTGGAAACAGCTCTCCAATGCTCTTTTGATGTTGGCACTTCAAATGTGTACTTCAAGAATTCATAAAGAGCTGCACATGTTTCCAAGATGATATATGATACGGTTCTTTCGCCAATTCGAAACTCCCACGATAAGTCTCTGAATGTATTTCCTGTGGCTAGATACCGGAGCGTAATGGTGAGCCTCTCAGCTGCAGATATTGGCTCCCCAAACTTTGTCTTTTGCTTCTGAATTCGGGGGGAGATTTCGTGCAAAAGATGGTCAAACTGTTCTTCTGTTACACGCAGCCACCTCCTAGAAATAAACATGCAATTTGTTAATTAGATTTGTGCAGTTAGTACATTTAAGGGCATCAAACTCTTTGTTGTTCATTCGTTCAGTCGTCTCCGACTCTTCGTGACCTCATGGACCAGCCCACGCCAGAGCTCCCTGTCGGCCGTTACCACCCCCAGCTCCCTCAAGGTCAGTCCAGTCACTTCAAGGATGCCAATCAAACTCCCTACGTCCTGTTAATTGCAACGTACTTGTATGAAGTTGGATCCTCGCCTCTCAACTCCTGATTTACATTTAAGAAGGCTCCTTTATGTGCTCGCCTTTTTATCCATCTTCTGGTAGGCCCCCGCTTTCTACGCCGTTTGTTTTCCTCTTCTTTTTCCTGCGACGCTAATATAATGGCACACACTGCATAATCCATTTTATCTTCACAATCGCCCATTCTTTTCGTCTAATAACTAATACACAATAGAATTAATGATCTGACAGCATGCCTACTCAAAGGAAAGAACACAATGACACGGCTTCGCATAGATCGTAGTTTGGGGCTGCTTCATGCAGCATTGTTTCTCTAGCAAAACTGGCTCGTAGCCTCGGGGGGGGGGGAAAGGCGGGGCTTTGGAGCGAGCTTGAGCGCAAGCTTGCCCCCGCTGCCTGTAGTTTGTGACGGGTCTTTCACCTTCCCGGTGAGGCGCCCCTTCACCTCACCATCGGGACCGCATTAAGTCCACGAATCCTGATGGATGGATTTTCTTCTACCGTACTTGTACAGTGTCTCCCTTAATGCTTTCATACAGTTGCTGCATACAGCAAGGATGCAGCCATTGCCATTTCTGAGCTCCCCTCACCTTATGCGGCAACCATAGATTCTCCAGTCCAGATTGGAAGTTTCAGCACTCGCTCTATAAGATGACTCCCAGCATATAAGACTACTCCTGCGTATAAGATGACTCCCGTGCATAAGACGACTCCCGTGTATAAGACGACCCCTGGCTTTTGAGAATATTTTCTTGGGTTAAAAATAGTCTTATATGCCAGAATATATGGTACATTCTGCCTCTTGCCCAAGATTGGGATTCAAAGCAGCTTACAAACTGAAATCAACATTAACACAGAATTAAACTCAGAATGCGAAAAATACTTTCTATTGCCATGGGTTTATAAACCCTGTAGAAGGATTAATAATAAGCTCACTGACCTGCACATTGCATGAATCTAAACAAAAGTATCTGGCACTCACCTAAGCCCCCAAATCCTAAACTTGTCCTTTGTTGCTGAATGTCTTTACTGTGTCCTGCTGAAGCTGACTCTGACAGAACAACATTTATCTGGTCTCAGATTGGATTGTGGCTGAAATCTGGGAAAAGGCAAAGGCAGACTGTGATGGATTAGTTCCCTCATTGCACAAGATAAGGGCAAGTTACAGTTAGCCCGAGGGTATTTTAAAAAAACAGAGGGCGTTGGAGCAGGCAAATCTGGTTTTAAAAAACATCCCTCAGAATAAGTTTTCAAAAACAACATGAAGATGCTTAAAATGATCCCAAATTCTGATTAATTTCACCTTAGTACTTTATAAGAATAGCAGATGTCATTTGTCGACCTTGGGCTTTTCTCCTTGACTAGGTGTCAAGGGCATGTCAACATCATTGACAAGCAGCCTCATCACACCAGAGCATGGATCCATTTTAAATCCAGTTTCTGCCTCCTGAAGAATTCTGAGGTTTGCAGTTTAGTGAGGCTCAGGACCTATCCTTCTTAAACTACAAGCCCCAGAATTCTGCAGGAGGCAGAAATTGGATTTAAAGTGGATCCATGCTCTAGTGTGATGAGGTCCTTTAGGTGTCAATTCCTGGAGGTGTTAACATCATGAGGAATTCTTGTTATGACAGATAATCTAGTGTCTCAAAATGTCATTAGGGCCAAGTGTCCCCTTTGGCTTAGTCTGCCTCAAATTGCAAGAGACCGCAGGTACAACAAATTATAGCCAAGAGCGAGCCAAGTAAAAAGAAGTATCTGCTAAAAGTCATATGAAACTGACCCTGTAGTTGAACTGGTACATGATAGCTGAGGAGAAGAAGCCTAAACTGGTTTGGAGAGTTCACATTCTCATCCCATAAAGTCACAACTTTCAACTCCCCCCAAAAGTTCATTGGTGACCTCTCAGACTGACCTACCCCACAGAGGTTGTAAGAATAAAGGAGGAGGGTGGAAGACAGCCAAGATGAGATATAAATCAATGTGCAAATAAAGCAGTAAATAAATACTAATAGCAAGGATGGTGGACATGGCTGTCTCATCTTTCACATTGATGCCTACCATCTTGCAAGATCATGGAGTTTAGGGATGGTCTTACCATTAGGCAGCGTGAGGCATGATGTCAGGTGCTGGACAGAGACCGTCAAAAGATCCTGTTATTAACCCATGCTCTGGTCCTGCAAACTCTCATTCTCAATAAATGAAGCTCTTGCTTCATTTATTGAGTCAACTGCACCATGTTCCTATTATAAGTGTTGTGTATCTACAGACTTTCCTTTTGCATATGGTGAACAACAGCAGCTGAACACTCACTTCCATCTTTAGTTCAGTTGCATCCTTGGGCAGAACACAATAGTTATGGATTGTTGTAAGTTTTTTCAGGCTATATGGCCATGTTCCAGAGGCATTCTCTCCTGATGTTTCGCCTGCATCTATGGCAAGCATCCTCAGAGGTAGTGAGGATGCTTGCCATAGATGCAGGTGAAACATCAGGAGAGAATGCCTCTGGAACATGGCCATATAGCCCCAAAAAGCCTACAACAACCCAGCGATTCCGGCCATGAAAGCTTTCGACAATAGTTATGCTTTTCTTTTTTTTCCTGGTTGAGTGTCTTCTGATACCATTTTAATCTGCCAGCAGTGCCTCTTACTGCTGGTTTAGGGCCGGCTTTTACAACAGCTGGTTAATCACCAGCAGCAATAGATTTTTCCCAACCCAAAGGTTGGCAGTTCGAGCCCAGGTTGGGGTGAGCACCTGACCCTCAGCCTATCTTACTGTCCACCTAAGCAGTTTGAAAAGAGCTGTGAGCTGTGAGTAAAGAAATTAGGCACTTCTTAAGTGGGGAGGTATGGCACCATAAGAAGCTGGCAATCAAAGAACAGGAGCAAAGTCTGTGATCATAAAAGGCTCGTCGTCATAGAGCAACAGCATCACCCTGTGGTCGGAATCGAGCATAACCTCCAGGACGCCGAAGCCAACACATATCTCTATTTGTCTGTCTGTTTTGTATGTCTAACAGCATTGAATGTTTGCTGTGTATGTGTTCTGTGATCCACCTTGCATCCCCTTTGGGGTGAGAAGGGTGGAATACAAATGCTGTAAATAAATAAATAAATATATAATTTTTCAATTGTCTATTCAATAGGTTTTTCAATATATGAGGCACTCAAAGGTAGTTTACCAGCGCTACAAGAGTTAGTAACTAACAAGAATTGCGCTATGAGAGCCATCACGGTGCAATTTCAAAGTGGTCCTATGGTGTACTGGTTTGAGTGTTGGAATGGGATGCGAGGAGACAAAGGTCTTAGCCATGCACATTCACTGAGTGAAAGGCAAAGTGAAAGGCACTCTTAGGCTACAAGGAAGCTAATTACAATTTCCTTGTCATATACTTCACTCTTCAAGACTAGGCTGCCAACTGTCACCAAGAAAATGTTTCCTTCAGTTGATTCCCAATGAAACAATATTGCTGGAATAGATTTGACAGCTGAATACACTGTTTGAATTTAAAAGAGCTTTGAAAACCACTAGGCCTATCCATATGATTTTTAAATTACGAGTTTTAAAGTATAGACTGATTGTTATAACATGTATTGGCCTTATATGTTCTTTAAACTGAGATTGTGTTTTGAGCTGAAGTTATGTCTTATTTTATAATTTGTCATTGTTTCCTGCCTTGATCCAAAGTGGAAGGCACTCATGAAATGATGATGATGATAATCAATGAAAGTGGAAGAAGGTCAAATTTCAGTTTCTCTCTCTCTTGCAGGTGTCAGTGGATTAATTGATATTATTTATGCTTATGTGTTTGATATGTTATATGTTCTAAATCAATATGATGTAGTAGTTTGAGTGCTGAACTCCCAGAGACTAGGATTAAATATCACTCTATGATTTTGGGCAAGTCCAACTTTCTGAGCCTCATGGAAAGGCAATGACAAGCCCGCTCTGAAGAAATCTTACCAAGAAAATTCCATGATAGTTTTGCTTTGGGCTTGCCCTAGGTCAGATACAACTTGGTGGCACACAACAACATGGCTATATATGAATGGATGTGTGCATGTATGTACGGATATATGAGTGTGGGAATAAGTGTGGAAGATGCCCCTACCCTTCTTTACAAGGCTCTGCCCACCTCTGGCATGTGCCTCCAGAACAGTGGTTCTCAACTTTGCTAATGCTGCGACCTCTTAATACAGTTCCTCTTGTTGTGGTGACCCCCAACCATAACATTATTTTCGTTGCTACTTTATAACTGTTTTGCTACTGTTACAAATCATAATATAAATATCATGCATTCATTGGACCAAATTTGGCACAAATGCCCGATATGCCCAAATTTGAATACTGGTGGAGTTGTGGGGGATTGATTTTGTCATTTGGGATTTGCAGTTGCTAGGATTTATAGTTCATCTACAATCAAAGAACATTATGAACTCCACCAATGATGTAATTGAACCAAACTTGGCATATAGAACTCCCATGACCTACAGAAAATACTGGAAGCGTTTGGTGGGAATTGACCTTGAGTTTTGGAGTTGTAGTTCACCTATACCTAGAGAGCTCCGTGGACTCAAACAATGATGGTCTGGAACAAACTTAGCATGGATACTCAGTATGCCAAAATGTGAACACTGGTGGAGTTTGGGGAAAATAAACCTTGACATTTGGGAATTGTGGTTACTGGGATTTATAGTTCATCTACAACCAAAGAGCATTCTGAACCCCACCAATGATAGCATTGGGCCAAACTTCCCACACAGAACCCCCATGATCAACAGAAAATGCTGTGTTTCCTGATGGTCTATTGTGACCCCTCTGACACCACCTTGAGACCCTCCCAGGGGTCCTGCCCCCCAAGTTGAGAAACACTGCTCTAGAACATTTCCCAGAAAAGTCTGTAAGCTTTCAGAAAATGAAAGGTTCTGCCCTGCCTTGCGGAGATGCATGAGGGCTGGGCAGAAGGAGTAGTTTTTCTTGCAGAGTTAAGAGAGGTTGCAGTTGATTTAAACCCCCTCTTTTGTGCTACTATTTGTAACAAGCAGCACCTCCTCGTAACCCTTATAGGAGTGGACTGATATTTTTTTAGAATGAGAAAAAGAGAAAAAGAATATATGCATAAACAAGAGTTTATTAACTTCACATTGTAGTGCAGAAATTAACAGGGGGGGGGGCAGCAGAAAAATAGAGCAAATGCAAATGGGACATGGTCATCTTTTATAGATTCAGATGGGGGAAAAAACATAGTGAATTATCAGCCAAAGAACTATCCATCCAATTTGTCGTGGTCGGGTCCAGTTTAATCCAGGTTCCTCTACAGTTCATGTTTGCAGATGTAGGCATTGCGAGTACTGCACTGGATATCATTCCATTGCTTGAAACCTAAAACGTGGGAGACAAAACATATATTATTATTTTTGGGAGGAGGGGGGAACCTTCAATATATTGTCAAGCTGTTACCAATATCAGAGTAAGAGGAGTAAAGCCTCTAGCCCTCAGGCTTGTCAATACTTCTCAGTAGTTGAATGAGAAAAAATGTTATAGAGTCCAGAACATCATTGGGAGGTGAAGAGGCTATTCTAATATAGAGCAGAATATGATGTGCACCTGAACCTTCATGACGAACTATGCTGTGAGGGATGGGCACTTTTGATGGCCTCCATGGATAGAGGACAGAGTCTGCAGAGCACCAGAAAGGTGAACATGGTAGAGATGAAGCCAGAAGGTGCTTGAGGTCTGCTGCCCCTTTGCATGCCTGGTTCTACCTTCTAGAAAATGGGTGGCCAGGTAGAAACTCAATTACTGGGTTGCTTCTGTGGATCAGGGATTTCACCCAAGGGAAGGTTGTGGAGGTAGTCAATTGTTGCTACCTGGCCTCAGCTGAACTATCTTCAGCTTGTGTTACCTCTGCAAGCTGAACAAGTTGGCCATTGCTAGTTTGACTCTTGCTAGAACTGCAAAAACACTGAGCACCACGAAAAACAGATACACTGGATCTTTCTCAGTCATTTCTTGGTTTGCTTACCTGTGGAAAGTCGAAGTTCTACACAGTGCTCAGAGTTAAAGTAGTTGTCGGGCTGGTTGGGCATCCATGCATTGTAGTTGTAGACTGATTCATCAGCCCACCTCCATTTCCTGGTCTGTAGAAAGGAGATAAATGTTTGAGGAATAAGTTCTATTGAACGTAGTAATACTTGCTTCTAATGCTATATCTGGGGTTAATAAAAACTATGCGGCCCTCAATGTCACCACTAAATTGCTGGTGTAAAGGAGGAATTCTGCCAAAGGAGAGAAAAACAGAGGCATCTACTCTCCACGGCTAGTTCCAGTCTAGCTTCTCAAGGAAAAGAATTCCAAAGCCTGGGAACAGTCCTGTGATCCTCAAGAAGTGACCCATGGGAGTGCTAAGGTGAGGAGGAAGGCTCTATAGCAAATGTTGAAAAAATGGACCCAAATCCTGCTATCCCTCTCCTGTTTCACTAGGACTCCAATTGAAAACAATATAGAAGATCAATGTGGGACCCAGTATACAAAACTGCTCAAATAAAGATGGAATTTCATCAATGGCAGGTCTCTACACAGTAATGAAAACTCGGATGGTAGAAGAAAGAAGCTTACATGACGAACATTATGGAGCCCAATCCAGACATTGCTTGGTTCTTGTTGGTAAGCGGAGATGTGTTCGGCCACCAGAAGGGTCTCTGCCTTGGTGAGGACAGAGGCAAGATGGGCTCCACGGCCATAGCTCTGGCACTCAATCTGAGGAGGGAGGAGAAAAATCAAGAGTGTTTCCCACTGCCATGTTTCACCAGCAGGACTGGTGCAGGACCATCTTTTAAAATCATTGAATCTATTAATTATTATAAGGAACATCGTCCAATGGAAATGATCAAGAATCAAGAGATGCCTCACACATGTAGAATTCTAACCCAACTCACACATGTATAACTCCAACTTGGCTTCCCAAACCCACTTTTCAACTTCCCCAAGTGACTATTTTATGGCCAGAGGAGAATCAGAGAAGAGGCCACGGAGAATGGGAAATAGGTGACTACTTCCCCAATAATCAAAAGAGAGTCTTACAATGGAATAAGCCCAAAATATGCCATTGAAACTCAAATATTTAATTATTCTGAAGGGCTTTCACCGTTGTAACTCAGTGTCAGCCCTCATTTAGATTTGTGGTTTTCAACCTTCAGGTGATTTGGGTTTCTACTTCCCGAAGTTCCTTCCCATAAAACCAATGGTGAATGTGATGTGAAGTCCTGAACATTTAGAGGACCAAAGATTGAGAACTATACTTATAGATGATACATTCATTCCTGCTTTGGCTGAAGAGAAGTACTTCTTACCTCAGCCTCTTGCCATGTCAGCTTGTTATCGAAAAAGGCATAGCAGTTGCCCTGGTTTTGAAGCCATTCCCTGGCACAAGTGTCAGCTTTGGCTGCATAGAAGCAGGAGGTCAGAAAGAAAACAGAAAGAAAAAGAGCATGGAGTTTAGCACAACTAATAACAACATCTCTGAGAAGAAAACCCAACCTGACCCATCCCCTGGTAATATGGGCTTGCAGAGTTTCCCCCCAAATGATCCTATTTTGTGAAACAAAGGGATCAGCCATTGTTCATCCTTATTAAAGGTATGCATGCTAGCAATATTTTCTAAAGGGACTCACTTTCTGGGAAGGAACTGGAGATCAGGAAGCCAAGAACGCAAAGGCTGAAGAATTTGAGGGACCTCATCTTCTCGCTGGCCTTAAAAGTAGAAAGAAAATGAAGTTTTATGAAGTTCATTGAAACCTTCACCTTATTTTACAATGTAAAGGAAATAGGGGAGTTAGATTTTAAGCATCATACATGTCAGTCACCTCAGGGCCCTTCCACACAGCCCTATATCCCAGAATATCCAGGCAGAAAATCCCACATTATCTGAGTGTCGACTCAGATAATCCAGTTCAAAGCTGATATTGTGGGATTTATTACCTTGATATTCTGGGATATAGGGCTGTGTGGTAGAGCCCTCCGATACCTCCCATTAGATGGAAAACTACAATAAAGGCAATTTTTTTGCTACAAGTAATAGAAAACCTTCTCCATGTTTTGGTTTGACCCAGTTCTGCCACAAGTTCCTTTGTGGATTCAAGAACCCTGGTTTGGCAGAGTTTGCTGTATTTTGAGCAGTTTTCTAATTTTACCCAGGCTGGATAATTCAGACTTTGGTCCCTTCCACACAGCTGAATAAAATCTCACAATATATGTTTTGAACTGGAATATATGGCAGTGTAGACTCAGATAACACAGTTCAAAGCAGATATTGTGGGATTTTCTACCTTGATATTCTGGGTTATGTGGCTATGTGGAAGAACCCTATGAATAACTGAAACACAGAACTGGATGACACCACAGAGATATCCAATCCAACCCTGTCTTGCGGGAATACATACTTGATGCCTTCCTGGCAGATCGCCATCCAGGCTCTGATTGAAAAACTACAACGAAAGAGACTTCATTACCCTACCAGGCTTTGTATTCCACAGCTCTTACCATCAGGGAGTTCTTCCTACTGTTGCAATGGAATCTCTTACTCTGAGTTTGAATCTGTTGAGGCTTGTTCCTCTTCATTTTGAGATCCTTTCAAATATTTCAACATGGCTACCTTGTTCCTTTTGATCATTTGGCTATCCTTCTCTGTTTTTTTGCTCCAGAGTATTGTTTCTTGGCATTTATACCCAATCTTTACAGTTTTATTTATACCCAATCTTTATAGTTTGGGTATAAATAAAACCTAATTTCTTTTCTCAATCGAGATAGCTTTGTCAAACCAGAAAGATTATATTCTACAAACTATAGTCTGAAATAACTCCTCATTCTCAAGGCTTGTTCATCTCCCTGTGGTTCTTACCTACTCACCTGGTGGCAATGTTCTCCTGAGTGGACAGGTGTGGTGGATACCTGACCGGGGACCTTGTCTGATGGTGGTCTCTCCCTTTCTGGGTACCTCTTATATACAGTAGTTTCCAGATAGACATGATGTAATGCAAGGACGCTTCAAGGAAATCCTGGTTCCCTCTCTTCAATTTTTGCACAATCTGGGGTCAAAGTGATTGAACACATTTTACAACACTGATCATTTTCTTTGCAGAAAGGTCATCTTGTTCGTCTCTTCACTGAAACATAGAATCATAGAATCAAAGAGTTGGAAGAGACCTCATGGGCCATCCAGTCAACCCCCTGCCAAGAAGCAGGAATATTGCATTCAAATCACCACGGACAGATGGCCACCCAGCCTCTGTTTAAAAGCTTCCAAAGAAGGAGCCTCCACCACACTCTGGGGCAGAGAGTTCCACTGCTGAACGGCTCTCACAGTCAGGAAGTTCTTCCTCATGTTCAGATGGAATCTCCTTTCTTGTAGTTTGAAGCCATTGTTCCGTCCTAGTCTCCAGGGAAGCAGAAAACAAGCTTGCTCCCTCCTCCCTGTGGCTTCCTCTCACATATTTATACATGGCTATCATATCTCCTCTCAGTCTTCTCTTCTTCAGGCTAAACATGCCCAGAATGGGAAGAGTTTGACAAGTAATGTCAAACTCTTCCCATTCTGCATCCCCATCTTTGGATGTGGACCAATTATTGATGGCCATCCTTGAAGCTGAATGATAATTTTCCATCGTCCATTTGATTTCAGGTCTAAAGAGTGGTTTGATTCTAGATGGGAACACTTTTGCCCTTCCCCTTGGTATCAAAATCCTCTCATAATAATAAGTAATAATCTCCCTCTGAATATTGTGGTCTGTTGTGACACTTTGTGAAACCCATTATGAGCCGACCTTTCAATATCCAAATTTCAGGGAGGGTTGAAAATTTCCGGGGGGGGGGGGGGGTTTGAAATTTGGGGGGGGTTTGAAACCTGCCTCTTAGCTCACGCTGAAACAAAGAGCACAGCAGGGGCAGAGCAACCTTCAATAGCCTGCAGCTCCGCCCCTGTCAACCACCTCCACTAAGTCTGGCCTCCTTAATGAGAGCATTCAACACCCCGCCCGCCCCCCCAACTTGGTTGCTTCGCTACATCGGCTATTACTGCAAGTAATGACAGTGTGAATAAATTGTCAATATTTGCTTGAGATAGTGCTTGCAGTTCTGGAGGGACTCTTAATTTTTTGCGTCTTATAGACTTAGCATGGGGATTTGGTTAACCAGTTACAATTCATGAGTAAACCAAGTTTATTTTTTTTTACCTGAAAAAAATTTGAACCCCTAACCCCCCCCCCCCTCGCTACAGGCCTGAGTGTTGGCTGTGGCAGGACGCAACAGATCACAAAGCTCAGTTTCTGCACTCCCTGGAGTTTAAGCTCTCTAGTCTCCTGCCCAACTGTGCTCCTATTGATTGCATGATTCCCACATATTGCACATAAACTGTTGTAGCTCAGCAGGCGGGGGTGATGGGTTCATTCAAGATTCAGAAGGGATTGTGGGATTTCCTGGGATTCATAGTGTTGAAGATTCAGGCCAGGAAAATGAAACTGGCTCAGACAGTGCAGAGCTCCAAGATCAGTCACAGGAGCCAGAAATAACATCATTAGGTAAGGGGTCCATGGAAGAGCTAAGAGCTAAGAAAAAAGGAAAGCTCCCAAGCACCTGGAGTTACAGAGATCAGCAAAGGTTTTCATTTACAGATCAGAGCTGAGAACCATCTATGTAGGCAGGGGTGGCTCAACCCATTATGCAAAGTAAGCATTTGCAGTATAGTTGATTTTGCCCAGGGGCGCTCTTGGGGCGCTCTTGGGAGAAAATAGACCTTGACATATGTGAGTTGTAGTTACTGAGATGTATAGTTCACCTACAATCAAAGCGCATTCTGAACTCCACCAATGAAGGAATTGAACCAAATATGGCACACAGAACTCCCACGACGAACAGAAAATATATATCAGTGATTGATTGGGGGGGGGGGGGGGGGGGGGGCAAAATACTGTTTGCTTACCATTGAAAATTACCTAGGGCCGCCTTTGTATGTAGGTCAGAGAGATTACACGGGAAAGAGATAGAGAAAAATTGTGGGAAATGACATGATTTCATGAGTGCTTATTAACAGCCAGTTGTTTACCTTAAAATTAGTTTAGGCAATGTTGGCTTTCGAGTGAGAAGTTAGGCCTGAGTTCCCTGGTCATTGTGTCAAGTCAAGTCCTGGTTTTGGATTCAAGTATCCTGGAAGTTATCTATATCCTTGTTTTATGATTCCTGCTTAATTTTTTTCTTAGTATACCTTTTGCATATGGATTTATACTATAGTTGTGATTTTTGGCTATTCCTGGACTGTGTTACCTTTGGATTTTTATGAGACATTTAGTTTCCTGTGTGCTTCTCACTTATTGCTAAATATTTTTGAATTATTCCTCTTTTTCTTTATTTTTCATTTATTTTATGTGTTTTTACAATAAACCGTTCGCTTATATTCTGGACTGTTGTGTGGTGCTGTGGTCATAGGTAGCTCCAGGCCTGGGGTGCAATACAAACATTCATAGATGTCCACCACACTTTCATTTTTGTTAGCCAAGAATTCAATTACAGCTCCTAACTTCTAATGGGACTCTGCAAGAGACATAATTTTGCCAGTTAACTACACCTCCACAATCCGTTGGAATGACTTGGTATACACATGGGAGAAACATCAGATTCCAAGCATTCAAAAGTGCACTTTCTGTCTTTGTTACTGGGTGAGAAAGCAAATGTGGGGTCTTATTTTTTAATGATCCTGGGACTATGGCACAAAATATACATCAGCAATATTCAAGCATTTTCACTGTCATTGCCATGCCATGAAAATTCAATAGGGCAGCAGCATTCCTAAATGAAAAGGTGTCCAATTTTGAAGCTGCTACTCTATTGCCAGATTTTCATGGCCTGGTAGTAGCAATAAAGGGAATCCCCCAGTGCGTTGCACCAATGAACTCTTCCCCGCTTAAGAGTTTGGCTGAAGCTAGAGAGATCTGAGCCTATGCAGCTGGAACTGGGTCCAAACTGCCCAGAGCTCTCTCTTGAAGGTCAGCTTCAAAGACTGATCAATCAAAAGTGAAATTAGATTTGTATGCTTCATATCACAGTGTTGTGCTAATGTATTTTGCATATTCTTGATCTCTTATTGTCACGAGAAGGAAATATCACACACATCTTCTAATGCCATCTTTTCAAGAACAAACTAAGAGGAAATGTCAAGTTGTACATTTGTGTGAACATCTTCTATTGCATCTCTCTGGTTCCGTCTAAATTATTCCCTATTCTGCCCCTGCTTTCCTGTTCATGGAAAACAGTTGTTCTGTTGTGCACTGGGCCTGTAACAGCTGTCTTTTCTATAGGATGTATACTTTAAACCCAGCGGGAAGCCAGAGTGCCTCAAAGAGAGGTTCTCAGGGATTTTTCTGGAGCCCCCGGTGGCGCAGTGGGTTAAACAGTGCCGGCAGTACTGTAGACTGACAGGTCGCAGGTTCGAATCCGGGGAGAGGTGGATGAGCTCCCTCTGTCAGCTCCAGCTCCTCATGTGGAGACATGAGAGAAGCCTCCCACAAGGATGATAAAAACATCAAATCATCCAGGCATCCCCTGGGCAAACGGCCAATTCTCTCACACCAGAAGCGACTTGCTCCTGGCACGACAAAAAAAAAAAAGGATTTTTCTGAAGTAATGGTCTTTAGAGTCTTTAATGATACAACAAAGTCTTTATTATGGAACAAACAACAAATCTTCAATGGTTCAAACAACACTTCAAGGCTTTCTTGGTCTAGTCCTCAATGGACTGGTACCTGACT